TTCCCTGGGGCCAGCACTGAGCTGGGAGCTGCCCTGGAGATTTCTATCCAGGGACAGTTGGGTAGAGTCAGCCTGGAATCCTGGGTTCTGTCCCTGCTGGCCACTTTCTCTTTGCAGCGTTGGATATAGAGGTGCCTGGTGGTCTGGGGTTCTCTTTGCTGTTTGCTCTCTGGCTGTGTGGTCCTGGCCAAGCAACTAGCACTCTCTGTGCTGTAATTTTTTTTTTTTTTTTTAACCAGGAAATCAGAAAGTTCACCTGAGGTGAGAGTTACTGAGAGTTTGTCCTGTGAAGTGGCCAGTACCTCACCTGACATGTCCCACCCCTGAGAGTCTGCTGTCTGGAAAATTTTTGCCTGTGTGGGTGGGATGTGAACATCTTCTCCAGGGAAGCAGGTGGGAATGTGACTATGGATGGTGGAGTTGAATTGGGAATGCTGACTGCCCCCAACCCTCGCCCCTGAGCTGTGAGTAGCCCTTTCTTTTGTGGAGACCTTCCACTTTCCCAGGACACAGGGTGCAGGTGAGGAGGCTGGAAGCTGCTCATTACAGTTTGTCTCACTTTCTCAGCTGACGGATGGGTCATTCTCAGGGGGCCCTTATCAGTCCATCAAGCTTGTGTTGTAATCAAGGGAGACATCAGCTTTGTGACCATATAATATGGAGGCAAAGAATTATAACAAAAGCTGTTATCCTCTAGAGAGCTGTACAAACATCTTTGAGCATCATCCTAGGTAGTGGTGACTTTCGATTTGCTACTATGTGCGAGGCAGCATGAATGACCGTCCATATATAAAGACCTTTCATGGCACACGTGGAGCAGCCCTGTGAAGAGGGAGCCATCGTCTTTATTTGATCCCCCCCCAAGAAGAAAGAAAGAAAGAAAAAGAAAGAAAGAAAGACAGAAAGAAATAAAGAGAAAGCCAACCAGTAACCCAGAGAGGACAAGCCCTCACCCACGGTCCCAGTGTGTGACCAGGGCAGGCCCCGGACTCCGGCAGGTGGCCAGTCCCGGTCCTGGGGTTCAGCATCTGTCACAACAACCAGGGCATGCATTGTGTAACATCCCGTCACACACAACCTTGATTAAGCTAATAGCTGATTTGGCTTTGATCTGATGTATTTTGATCTTATTATTTTTATGTTAGAAGCCTCCAAATAACCATCATTTCAACAGTGCCCCAATTAGCAGGCCATTCACAGTGGATTGGAAATTGACTCACATCGGGCCTCTCCATTAGCGCCTGGGAGAGGCTTCCAGCCTTAATTACCCACCCTGTTTGTGAGGCCTGGCGCTTACGACGCTGCAGGTGGCTCCATGAGGGGTGGGCCGGCAGCACCCACCTCCATGGGGAGGGCGAGATGGCTCTCGCCTGAGACTACTAATACTTAAGATCCTGGGCATGACTTTGATGGAGAGATGGGATGTCCAAGGAAGGGGCAGGAGGCTGACATCTCTTCAGCATCTTGTGCACTGTGAGGCATTGGCTCTTGCTGTCCGCGTCCTAAGCCAGTGCTCTCATAGCTCTGCTGGGTAGAGATTCTTATTCCTATTTAATAGAAAATGGAGGCTTAGAAAGGGACATGCCCGTGGCTGTGTGGCTACTGACTGGAGGAGCCAAAACTGGAACGTGGGTGAACGTGAGATCCGAATGCTCTTCCCACCACCCTTGGTGAGGTGGTAGCTGGTGAGGGTTCTGCCCGGCTCTATGTCGTTGTCACTCTGCACCCACCTTGTGCTGCTCTTCCTGAGGGAGACCCTGAAAGGTTCTAAATCCTTTCCTTCCTTTGAGGCCCTGGTGCCGACCGCAAATGAATTTACCCTCCTCTGTGTCGCAGGGAGCTTCCTCTCTCTTTCCTCCAGTTGAGTTGCAGAGTCTGTCTCCTCGGTGGATCCTAACCTCCTCAAAGATGGGACCTGTGGTCCTCCTGCTTTTCCCCCTAATAGTGCTTAGGGCAGGGGCTGGCTTGTGGGGGGGGCAGGCAGGGATACCAAATGTATGTATGAGACAAGGAGGGCAGGAGCCAGTGACATGCATGCCCTGATGGGGAAACTGAGGCTCAGAGACATTCTGCAACTTCAAAACCTGACATATATGGAGTGAGGACAGATGATGACCTGGGAGGGAGATGGGCAGGTGGGGCAACAAGAGCCAAAAGTGACTGAGGGCTGCAAGGAGGACTCTCCATGGGAGTCCTGGGATGGGAGAACTCCACAATTGAGCGCTGGAGTTCCTGGACAATTTACGTTCCAGGGATATACAGTTTATTTTATACAATTGCTGTTTAAGATTAAAAATGTATAGTATTGGCATTAAAGAGAACATACACAAGAAAAAATATCCATGCACTGTCGTAGCGCCTTAGCCTTTAGTGTTTTCTCTTGCTGTTTTCATGGGTGTGCTTTCTGCCTAGCTGTAATCATAGTAGCATATAATTTTGTGCCCTGGTATTTTCACATGGCCACCTCTCAGAAGCATTTTCCCCATGTCTGTGGCAGTGTTCATTGTGTGGCCTCACATCTCATTGTCTGGAAAATGGATAAAATGATACCTACTCTACACAAATGTCCTGAGAATACTGTGAATTCACATGTACAAAGGACACCAGGAGAATTTGGCACAGAGGGAATTCTCACACAATAGTCGTTCCTCCTATGTAGTTTTCCTACTTATCCATTATCAGAGGATTATTTTTCTATTTAAAAGGAATTATCTGTTTATGTCACAAAATTTTGGCAAAATATAGAAAAGAAAGAAGACCACTTTCAGGTTTCTTCTAAATTGCAGTGACTTTTAACATTTTGCAATATTTCCTTCTGGTTTTTCTTTCATGCATGCTGACGTTTTATTTAATTGATAAAATACATGCAATTTTGTATCACTTTCACCTACTTTTTTATGACAGGCACTTTCCCGTGTTATTGTAGTATCTTCTTGAGTAGTTTAAAGGCTGTATATACTTTCAGCAAATGGGGCCCTTTCATAACCACTCACCTATTTGCATCTTTTAGATCGTTAGTAATATTCCAAGAGTACGGATAGTGTCCTCTGAATGGTTTTGGATTGAATGCTGTTCCTATCTTTTGGACAGGTACCCAGAGAGGAATTACTGACCGGGGCCATGGAAATTCTTGCATGATATTCTTGCACGAGTCTTTATTGCCTATTGTGAACTGGGCTTAGCACATGTCTGGGAAAGGATGGTGAACACAGCAGGCATGACACTTGTCATCCTGGAACCTGGGGTCAAGCTAGAGAACCAGCCAGTAACACAGGCAACATGTGGCCCATGACAGGGAAGTGCAGTGAAGGGGGATCATGCCAAAAGGGTCATGAGCCAGTCTGGGGATGCTGAGTCTGAGTTTTGAAGCAAGCGTGAGCATCAAGATTGAAGAGGTGAGTTTGAGGGTCCAGGGTGGGCAGTTGGTTGGGATGTAGCGGAAAAGGGTATGGTGAGGAGCGTGAGGCTGCAGGCCTGGGAGCTTGCAAAACCACTTTTTCAGGAGTGGACTTTTACTTTATCCCTACGGCTAAAGTAAAACGGGGGCACAGCGGGGCTTTAAACAAGACATGCAATAGATTTCTGTTTAGGAGAGAACTCAGCAGACTGGAGCTGGGGTAGGAGAGGGCCAGGGCATCTAGGGGGCTGCGAAATTCACAAGACATCATCATCTCTTTTTTAGCTGCCCTTGCTGGTGGCCTTGAAGAGGAGAGAACCATGGGATTTGGTTTCTCATCCTGCTGGTGCTCATGCCAGTGCAAGGCGAGCGCCCTTGCCCAGAGGGCAGCCGGACTTTGCTGCTGCAGAGTGTGGGGGGACCCTCCCCTTCCCACATGTTCCCCTGCTTCCCACTGCCTTGCTCCCTGGGGTCAGTTTCCCCTGTTCTTCTCTCCCTCTCCCAGCCTTATCTGAGGCATTACATAAATCCAAGAGCTCTTGACCGAAAGAACTGCATTGTCAAAAGTCGTTCAAAGTCTGCCGTGTGCAGCAGATGGCCTGCTGCCATTCACAGGCTGTGTTTTGAAACTGCATCTGCTTCTGCACATCCTTGCCATCGCATAAACCATTAGTAAGAAATGTTTGCTTCAAAACTGGTGCAGTGAGTTGCGGCGTTGGGAGTTGCATCTTTCTATTAATTGGTTGATATCCCAAAAAAGTGTAGGCACATGGCTACAAGGGGCGCCTCTTGCAGTTACAGGAGAGCTTGGAAAGATGAGCCCCTGAGCATGTCAGCCCTAGAAGCGGCTGCTGGAGCATCCGTTGCGTTCATCCTCCGCACCCGTGGTAACTGTCTGAGCGGCGGGAGCGTCTTTCTTTGTTATTGTCAAGTGGCTTTGAATAATCCTTCTGGAACAACTGCTTCATCTGGGGTTTGGCCCAGTATTTTTATGATATGGATCAAGTGGACTTGGCCAGAAGACCTAGGGTTTCTTTTCTTTTTTATTTTTTTCGTGCATCTTGGGTCCTCTCGGGTAAGTGCCTCCCTGACTTTCGGAAGCCATTTAGTCCGTTCAGTCCCAATCAGTTCAGTTCAGTCAACAGTTGTAGAGCACACAGTGTATTCTCCACCCACAGCTAGGCATGAGGATACACAGATCAACACAATGACGTTTTGGCTCTAAACGGGCTTATAGTCCTAGGTAGGAAACAGGATGGCTAATCTCACAGCTTGGTTGGGGAGTCAGGCAGATTTGCGATGAATCCGTACTCTACCATCCTTCCCTGACTAGCCTAGGGCAAATGGTTTTGCCCCTTTTGACTTCTATTTTCTCATGTTAAATGGGTACAAGAATGTCTAGTTGGCATTTTCACCAAGGATGTCAGTGAGGCTGTGCTCATGAAAACCGCTGGCCTGGCCCAGGATGGTTCTTGGTCCTGGAGGGAGGCAGCCTCTCTTGGGAGTCCCAGGCACGAGCTGCCAGGCATGGGGCTTGCAGGCTGAAGCTGGTGCAGCATCACCCTGATGCTGACCCCTTCCTCTCTCTCTCCTCTCTTTCTAGCCTGTGACCTCATGACCCAGGGGATTTTGGCCTTGGTCACGTCCACCGGCTGTGCATCTGCCAACGCCCTGCAGTCCCTCACGGATGCCATGCACATCCCACACCTTTTTGTCCAGCGCAACCCCGGGGGGTCGCCACGCACTGCCTGCCACCTGAACCCCAGCCCTGATGGTGAGGCCTACACACTGGCTTCGAGACCACCTGTCCGCCTCAACGACGTCATGCTCAGGCTGGTGACGGAGCTGCGCTGGCAGAAGTTCGTCATGTTCTACGACAGCGAGTATGGTGAGTCGTCAGGCAGGAGAGCCAGGGCTGCTCGGGGGCAGGGATGGCCAGATGCTGGGAGACTAGAGAGTGGGTGGGGCCCTGGACTGGTGGTGGGTGGTCTGTGCTGAGTGGGTCTCTAGGTGATAGGGTCAAACCTCAAGCTTCATGAGTCAGGAAGAGCTGCAACAACAGCTACATAGATAGGCACTAGAGTTGCCTAGCAACAACACCTTATCATGATGGCTGAAGTTTGAATCATCTTAGAGGTTTCAATAAAATATTAATAAACTGCTGGCAGGGATCCAAAGGGCTGTGTGCTGGCACAGGTGGAGGCCGGCCAGCATGGTTCCTCCTGGAGGCCTCCTCTCCAAAGAGTGCCCTTCACACTGGACGATTGCCAGGCCTTCCTGGCTCCTTGCCTCCATCCATCCCAATCGGCCTTCAGTTTCAGGGTTCCAGGCTGGGGCAAAGGTCAGGGGGAGGAATGCCCTGAGTGTCATGGAGCCAGGCTGGGGTTGGTGGGTTGAGGACACTGGGTATGGCTGGACATGGCTTCTTTGAAGTCCTCTCATATGAAAAAAAATCATCATTTTCTTGTTAGGAAACCACAAAATGGGCTTTGGAGAAATGGCTTCAGGTTTTCTTATGACTGCTCTGTAAAAATAGACTAGTCGTAATCCTGAGATAGAATGGTTTCCATGTTTAGTGTTTAAACAATTTGTTTTGAAAATTATGAGATAACTTAGATTTACATGCAATTATAAGGAGCAACCCAGAGAGATCCAGTGTGCCTTTCACCCAGGTTCCCCCACGGTAACATCCTGCATAGCTGTAGTACAATATTACAACCAGGATTTGATACAGCCCATAGGCCTTGTTCATATTTCAGTAGTGCATGTGATCTTGCAGGTATGGATTTATTGCCATGCATTTTAAAAATCACATGTGTAGATTCCTGTGACCACCAGTCAGGATACAGAGTAGTTCCTTCACAAGGATCCCTATCTACCTCTGTATAGCCACAGACACCCCCATAACATGCTAGAGGGTGTGGGAGACTGATGAGGGTTGGCAGCCCCACGGCTGGTGCCAGGATGGAATGGGTGGACCTTCGAAAGTCCCATTTTGTCTCTGGGTGATATAATTTCTTTGCCAAGAATGTAACTAAGAAAAGAAATCAGCATATGTTTGCATTTGCCTAAATACCCTTCTTCTCTAAGACTGGAATGTTGTCCCCAGCTCTTGAGCAAATATACTGTTTGGAGTCTTCCAGGAAGAATTGAAAGCGCAAACAGTCACTGTGCTGAAATAAAAATGAGGTGGATGGGGACAAGGGTGGGACCCGAACTGGACTCAGTCCAAGACCTGGCCTCTCCCTCCCACGCTCCCACTCCTGCTCAGTCCCTGGCCCTTGGGGAGGAGTTGGAGGCTTTGTAAGAGCCCTAAGTTGCCTGCAGGGATCTTTCAGGGGCCAGGCCTTCCCCTGAGAGCCCTTGGGGCTGGTGGCTCAACCCCAAAGTCCAGCCTGCTCTGAGGCTGGGCCCTGTGGAGAGGCATGGACACTGCCGGGGATGGGGGTGCTGTGATCCAGTGTGCCCAGGCCCTTCCCACCCCACTTTCTCTGAGTATCATTGCTGTGTTTCCAATCTGGCCTACAGACACAGGTTTCCTCTAGAGCCTGGAAGGCGACCTTGATGGGAACCTCAGCTGCTGGGAGGGCAGGTGATCAGCTCTCTAGCCTGCCCACCCGTCTGTGCTCCTGTGACTCCTGCAGACTGAACAAGGCCTGGTGGCACTTGCCCAAGTCCTGTTTTCTGATTACACTCCTTACCCTCACTCTGCTCAAGATGCAGGTCCACAAAGAAAAATGTTCCTGAGCCCCACCTGTCCTACAGAGCTGGCAGCTTGGTTACACGCTCTCGCAGACGTGCTCGTCCTGCCCTCAGCCTGCTCTCGGCTTGTCCTGACTCTCATGAGGGCTGGTCCTCCATGAGTGCTGGACTGCCTGGTGAGGCAGTGAAGTCCAGGAGAGTGGCTGTGTACTTCCCACCACAATGGCCCTGCTGTCTGCATGCTGCCTGGCACAGAGTAGCCCCTTGACACATTCATGGATGGGGACATAGAGTTTTCAAGCCATTTTCAAACAAGACAAAGGAGGAATGGGGAGAAAGACAAGGGTACTGGATAGTCTGACCTCTGAATATGAGGTGGCAGGGAAGGGGTATAGGCTAGGAAACGGGTTTTATTCTGCAGATACACTTCCCCACCCCTCTTCTCTCCTCCACCTGGAATCTACAATGGGACCAAAAGCTGTGTTCCTCTTTTCTGACATGGACACCTTTGCTGCCTATAGTGGGGTTGAAGTTAGTTTCCAACCAGACTGCTCCTTATCAGTAATTCCATAAAGTTGCCAAGTGACCAGTAACTTTCTTCTGGAGGACCACTGTAGGTGGTTGGTTGAGGCTGCTTGGGAGCTGTGCTGGGAAGGATTCTGAGGCTGTGTGTAGGCTCAGCAGCAGAAAACACCATAGTTGGTCTGTGAGGCTTCCATGGTGCAAGAGAGGGATTGGCAGAGACCTGTCATGTTTACTGGTTCAGACCTGGAGGGTGGAGGTGAGTGGAGAACCCCAGAGGTGGGGTTCTCAGTCGGAAGACAGCCTCAGAGCTGTGTACTCATGGCGCTGTCCAGGGTGCTAGCCCTTCTGGCTCTCCGCTTGCTGGAGGCCAGAGAACTCTTTTATTGGATTCTGTGCAGGACCTCCTGCCTTTGCCTTCCCTGGTCATCGGCCTCCTGATATGACAAGCAGTGAGGCTTGGTTTCTGCCTCTACACATTTTCTGTAAAATTTTAACTCAGTGCCCAGTGCTCGTCCTGGCTTTCCCCTCATGCCCAGCCCAGCTGCTGCCCATTTCCAACGTGCCTGAGCCAAGGCAGCTCAGCCTATCTGCTGTTTGATGCAGAACATTCAGCCCTCGGAGTGCGAGTGTGGCTGCTCCCTTGGCATGGCTGGCTGTGGCCTGTCCCAGTGTCACTTCTGGGTAGATACACATTGCCAATATAGCCAAGACAAACAGTGCCTCTGGAACACCTCAGAGCCCCTCCTCCCCCCGACTCACTGCAGCACTAGCTGCAGATGAGCCCAATTAAAAAGCAAATTAAGTGTAAAGACTGTTCTATTCTTTCCAAAGTCAAACAGAAGTGGTTTGGGAATATAGCTACTTTTTTTCAATGCTTCTGCAAGTATCTTTATGTATTTTACTTCACTCTAGCCACCCAACATCCGTCTGAGATCGGATTATTGCTACATTTTACAGATGACGAAAATGAGGCTCAGAAAGGTTCTTTTTGACTTTAGTACCCATGCGTTTAGCCAAGGCATCATTCTGTTTCTGTAATTTGGACTTACTAGGCTCTAGCTTCCTGCTGCTGTCCCCAACCAGTCAGAGTTGATACCAAGAAAAAGGGAGGTAGTTTGGAAGGGACATGACATGCTTTAGGCTGGTGCAGTCACTTCAGTGAGCATCACACATAGGCTTCCTCCTTTGTGGGGCAAGGCTTGATTCTTCCTCATTTGCTCATCAGCCTCCCTTTAAACCCAGGAATGTCCTGCCCCAGGTAGAGCCTGAGGACTGGGCATTTGAGTCAGGAGTTAGAGATCAGAACAGGAAAAGCCATGGGCTCCAAGACAGAATTTGGCAGAAGGGTGAGAGAGGAGATGGTATGTATATGGTTTACAAGATGTGCCATTTGGTAAAATTCCACTGAAAATACTTGTATGCTTGTTGTGATAGTGAAAGGAAAAACAAAAGAGAAGATGACATTTGAGAGAGAAAATTTGCAACATTAAAATACCAAAAGTTTGGATCGAAAAGAATGGAGAACTTTCTGAGTTGCCACTTCAAATGCTGGGATATTCATGTGTGTGTATGCATTGGCAGGGGCTGGGGTGGGGATGTGCTAGTAGCTGTATCCACAATTTCCCTCTAGCGAATAAATTTGGATGAAGGTTGTAATTATGATGAGCTCTTAGATATCATTGACTCATTCATTCAACAAATATTCACGGAATCCCTGCCGCATGCCAGGTATTTTGCTAGGCACTCATTTTCAATGAAGACACAGATGGGTGGAGTAACTTGGCTAATGTTGCATGGGCTGGCATTGGAAGTCAGGGCCCAGGGGCCCAGGGGCATCTCCAGGGCACGGCAGTCGCTTCTTGGCCTCTGGGCTAGCTTGCAGACCTGGGATGGGTTGGAAGCTGGGATTCCGCAGAAACAAAGCATCAGGGCTCTGTATGAGTGACTACTGTCTATTTGTGCCAGTTTAAAAATTATTTTTTAATTGAAAGCTACACGTGGTTACAATGTATATGTTCAATTAAAAGACTAATAACCTGAAGACTCATGAACACACAATCAGTTTAAAAAATATCAAGGAGCCCTTGTGTGCTTCACCCTGACCATGTCTCCCCTACAGAGGGACTTAAACACTCTCCTGATTGTGTGCTAAGAAGCCCCTCGCTTTCCTTGATATATTTTTTTTTCTTTTTATGTGTCTGAAGTTTTGCCAAGTTGTATCTAAGCATGGAAATTTTAAATTTATGCCTCATATTTTTAAAACACTGTACATGTATTTCACTCTTTTAGAGGATCCCAAGCCAATGTCTTTTTTTTTTTTTTTTTTTTTTTTTTTTACTTTTATTTTAGGCTTAGTGGTACAAGTGCAAGTTTGTTACATAGGTAAACTCGTGTTGTGGGAGTTTGTTGTACAGATTATTTCATCACCAAGATAATAAGCCTAGTACCCATTAGTTGTTTTTCTTGATCCTCTCCCTCCTCCCACCCTCCAATCTCCACCCTCCCTCCACTCTCCACCTTCCCATAGACCCCAGTGTGTGTTGTTCCCCTCTGTGTGTCCATGGGTTCTCATGATTTAGTTCCCACTTAGAAGTGAGAACATGCCCTATGTGGTTTTCTGTTCCTTAGTTGGCTCAGGATAGTGGCTTGCAGCTCCATTCC